CTGGGTTTTACATTTAAAAAAATAGGGGTAATTTTTTTTTTGTTCTCCATTTTTTGCTAGAAAAGTATAAATCCTTGTTTCAGAATAATTTCAGGTGTTGAAAATACCTCCGATTAGCTTTTACTCAACTGATTATCTCCTCACAAAAAAACTGTTATACTGGTTTCCGAAATTTTATTCTTCTAATATTTTAGAATATTAGTCTTTACTGGAAAAAAGGCAAGATATAATCAAAGAAATAAATCATCCGTGATGATTATCCTAACCTCTTAGAATGACCATTACATGATGAAAGAATGACCATTATTTTTAACCTAATTAGGATAATTAGGCGTTCTTATCAAATAATCATATTACGCATATAACTAGTGTTTATGAAAATTCATATTTTTTTTCTATTTTTGCATGTAAATATGAATGGAGTCAGAATTATAGATTATAAATATCATCGACATACACAATCATTTCCTTGGTTATATTAAAAGACATTTAGAATACGAGTTCCGTATTATACAGGGTGAGACAATAAGATTTCCTCGGTTCATTGCTATCAGAGAAAACAATTTTTCGAATTTTTTTCGCAGTAATATCGATAAATACTATCTTTCAAAATTATTTTCTCCCATACTTCGTGATTCAGCCGAGCGTGGCACGGAAAAATTTTGAGCAAGTGAACGTAAATAAATGAATTTTTTTGTGGTTACAACAATTTATGAAACTTGGTATGATTTGTAAAATATCAGTTTTTCGTATATACCTCTGATGAAAAATGTAGTGAAACATTTCATACAAATGAAAAAATACAGTGTGTACCATTTGCAAAAGTTGAATTATGTCTGTTTGAATATGAATGAAACCTAACTGGTTTTACCAAGCACCCTATACAGGGTGTTTCAAATATTTGATCCTCACCATTGGGATCTCGAAAACTATGAGAGATACGAAGATGGTTCAATTGTGGCAAATTTGCGCATTGACCTGACTAACAATATGCCGCTGAGAAAGTTCTGAAATTCCGAGTATATCCGTAGATATTCAGAAAAAAACAGAATTTTTTTTTGAAACATTCGAAAATTATTTGCACTTTCACATTGCCACTGCTATAATGGTGCTATATAATGGTGTTTTCAGATTTGCTATCCGACGTTTCGATGTCCGGCCATCATCATCAACTTTATTTTTTCTTATGAGCGCTATATTGGATTCTTTCTGTTTTGGATAGATGAAGATTTTACCTTCTCAATGATGTATCAAATGTTATCATTCTTTTTTGAAAAAGTGGAGATATTGAAAAAAAAAATTTCTTTTCATAATAGGCAACCACCTCATAACAAAATCTACCTAACTAGCTATCGTTTGAGGTCAGTAATCATGACTTTAATAATCATCTTTGGGGAATATAAAAATAAAAAATTATTTTGATTCCCATTGTCCCCAGGGGAGGGTAATTGTGGTCACTTCGTGTGCAATGAGCTGTGATCATTCAAAAATCTACCACAAATCGCAAACATAATCCTTGGTCGACTCCCACACCGTACAATCTGCGTGAGCCCATAAACCACATGAGGAACATCTGTACCAAACAGCATTATTTTGACTGAATTCGTTGCAGATTCCTTGCATCGTTAGCATCATGTAGCACATCGTCTTGGCATAAATCATCAGTAGCCAGGTCTGAAACCGAGGTATCCTTTGATTCCTGGACAACTTCCTCTTCACTCTTTCGGTTCCCTTCTTCGGCACTTTACTATCCTTTCCACGGCCCTTGCCCTCAGTAATATTTTTTCCTTTTCCCTTATCCTTGGCTGGGCAGACGGTTTTACTTCTTTTGTTTCTTTTTCTATTAAGTTTTCTTTCATTGTCGTGAATGTTAAAAAGTTGGCATGCTGCTTTTGGCGACTTTATCTAGTATTGTGGGTATTGCTTTTCTCTGGCAACTTAATTAATTTCGGCTCAATATCAAGACTAGAGACTGCTGAAGCAACTTGTGTTGATGTGCTAAGAACTGGTGAATATACTGGACCAGTTGATAATGAAACACTTAACACTGATGGGCCAGGGGCTAAACAATCAACGGTGCTAGAAGTTCTTGGTAGCGTCGATGGTAGCGGTGAATTAACTAGCATTAATGTGCCAGGTACTGAAGAGCTTTCTTGGCCTGGCGGTGGGCTATTAACTGCAACTGATTCATCAAAGATTTGAATGGCAGCAGTTTCTGATCGGAACAATTCGGCTGGTAGAATATCTTCATCACGATATACGTCGAGATTCATCGGATAAATACTTGTACCTCTAAATCCCGACTCTTCTTCACTAATGACCGCAACGGTATTAAATGGCTTCAGCAATAAGAATGCTACTTCTTAAGGGTATCTCAAATAGTTTGTATTAGTTCTCGTGTTTGTTATGAAATTTGAAGTGAAAATCACCGTAATCTGAAATAACACGTTGTCGAATACGTACATTGCAAATAGTCTGATGATCCCTGGCAAGTTTCTACCTGCTGGTTTTATCATTGATGAAACAACCTAATATTTGGCAGAGTTGGCTCATAATCTAATTAGACGAAATCAAGGATTCTCCATCCACTATCCAGTGGTACTAGGTCAGACAACAGAAAATTTGCTGGGCTCAACCGTTGTCAAATAAAAGTCTGAGTAGGTGAAAGTTATAACATCTCCCACAGCTAAGTCGCCATCTATATAATCGAAAGAATACTCAGCCCACGGATATCAACGATTGATGAGGCACCCCAAAGAGCCCTTTGCAAATCTAAACTTTGACATCAACAACCAAAAGAGATTCTTTTTTTGTCATTCTAACACCTATGGAATCGGCAGAAGACTTGGTCCACGAAAATCGAAGATGATAGAGCCTATCTAAATGGGCAAGTTACAAACCATCGACCGTCGAGAAGATTCATTATCTGCTTTTCACTGCAAGGCAACTGGTTGGAAGTTCAAACTACGAAGCATTCCTGATCCAATACCAGGCAGGGCTGATTCGATACGTCAAAGGCTCTTCAGTAGTGCTAGTCTGAAACACAAATGCATTGCTGCATTTCTATATCCTCCTTCTACGAAAAAAACTCTTACGGGACCTACAGAACATACAAATCTTGAATATCAAAAATAAACGAGGCTCCCAAGACGCATCAAATCCATAGGCTCAAAAGTTACGATATAAAAAATAGTAATAATTTGGCGACCATCACCACGAGTGATTATTTGGGGGTTATTCGAGGAGCCAATGTTTGACCATTAGCCTTCATGAGCATACATATAAACCGTCCCTATCAACTTTCAAGACCTTATACTTGATATTGCAGACAGTAAGGGGAAGTTCACACCAAACGGAACCATCTATCCCATAACGCCTTTGTGAAATTCGCTAAGCAATGGATGGCAAGTACGTGGCTGTTGTTTGAAAACCCCGGCATAACTACCACAATGAAAACGATGATATCATTCGGACAAACACAAGCAAATTCGCTACTAGCGACTGGATGGGGGCTTTATGTGAATAAACTGCACTGTCTGTCCACTGCACCCAAAAAGTCACTAAATTTGTCCAAAATGTCACTGGATTTCTTGAAAGATTCCCTAGGTTTCCCCAAGATGTCATTAGATTTTCTGCAAAATCATCTAGGGAAAGTACGACAACCGAATCTATCTTGTTGATTTTGTCGGTAGACTCATTGATGAGACCCTAGATTTCCCGGAATAATAGTCCCTGAGACGTTTCTTAGTTAACAATAGTTGGATCGAGCACATCAAATGAAAGGGAGGAAGATGCAGAATTCATTAAGATTCGGTTCAGGGGCCTTTTGGAATGTCGCCATGTTTGATTTTTACAAGAGACCATCGTTTGGAAAAATCTAAAGTATCTTGAATTAATCTTGTGAAAAAATCAACAAGATAGATTCGGTTGTCGTACTCTGCCTATATAATCTTGGGGAATAATTTAATGACTTCTTGGTAAAATTTAGGGACTCTTTTTAGTAATCTAGTGACATTTTGGATAGATCAAGTGGCATTTTGGAGAAATTTAGTGACTCTCCGATCAAAACTAGTGACTTTATGGGAAATCTAGTGACAAAAATGACATGTTGTACCTGCTTCTTTCCTATGGTGACTTACATGGAAAAACCGCAATTTTTGTCCTGGTTCTCTCATAGCATGCCTACTAGCGCTGTTTCGGCCAAGATCAAGGTCTCATTAGTGGTGCTAGACTGATACACGAATTCATTTCTGGGCTCAATTGTCCTTAAGGATGAGATGGAGAAAGTGAAAGCATTGCAATTGATCCTTAGTTCAGAAAATAATACTTTGTAGAATAACATATCGTCGACATAGGCTTTGCTTGATAGAAAATACTATAGCAATACATACAAGTACTGCACAAATTTCAAGATTATCCTAGAGTTGTAGAAGTCCTGGACAAGCATGAAACACCGATTTTTTATGATGGAGATGCAGAATTTTTGAAATGACCTGAGCAGTAATCCCTTTTAAAATTGAATTAACACCTCTCTCCGATTTGTCATATTATTTTTTTTATTACATCAAGTATAACAAGGTTTCAAATTTATACTTTGTTTACACCTGTCCCACAAATCCATTTTTGTTGTTGAGTAAAACACAATTCAGGTAACAATTTATTCGAATACTACTATGAAAATATTTTCATTGGCATGATTCATTTAATTACCCCTACACAACTATAATACTGAATCGAAATAATACCTCATCTCATACATGAGAAAAAAATGCTTACTAGAGTAACGAATAAATATTCACGAAAATTTCAACTAAATGTTAAGAATACAAGTACAGGTAAATCGGAATCAAGACGTCTACAACTATTTCAAGTGGTTCTAATTGTTATTCCGGTATGTCGCTGAGCTTATATCCTCCAGGTTTCCTGAATATGCGTTCCTGCATTGGTAATTCTCCTACACAAAACCTATCAAGAGCTCTCAAGGCTTGGGAACTGTGGCCGGACCCTCTGAAGGCACTGCTGGCTTCTCTACCAGCAAATTCCAGAAGCAAATCGGCACCTCCAGGATGCTGGAAAGAAACACATGAAATTCTTCAAAACGACAGGTAGTTATTATGTCATTTATGTTTATAGTACAAATAGTAGGCACTAAAAAGAAAACATTGTTGTCTACGTTGTGATTCTAGATATTTCATCATAATTTTTCCTCATCTGTTCAGTATAATTTTAATACCACTGCCAGAGACAAATTATGACACAAACGCCAGTCATTTTTGAAAATTTGATGCCTACTATTTTGGAATTTTAGTATAATGAATAATAATTGATGTCATTATTTCATAATTTTGTATTAAAAAATAATTTCCAAAGCTTTTTGTGTCAATAACACTTTATTATATAGTAAGCTAACAGCAAGTTGTGTTTGAGGTCAGTTTTTGAAGAGGATTGAATCATATTTATCTGGACGTCAACAATACGTTAGTGTGAATCTGATTATATCCCTATCACTCTGGGTGTCCTACAAGGATCTGTTTTGGTGCCTGTTTTATTTTACTATGTATGAATAACATATGAATGAAGCTTTAGAATCGCAATCTGATAATATTTTGTTGAGTCTTTATGAGTGGTTCTGTACACTTTCATAATAAACAAAAACAGGTAGCTAATAAATACATTGAAATTGGTAATCATTAAATCATGTGTGTAATTTTTGGGCCTATTATATGTGCATGAGTTTATTTATGTGACTCATATGCTTCGTAACGGGACCGTTTTACCGCGATTTCGTCCTTCAAACGCTCCATAACACTATATAATAGTCGCAAAATCCTTGTCTCTGGTTAATATATTGAATAAAGAAGCGAGAAATATTTCCAACAAGATTTGTGAAGCGGATTGGTTGAATATGGAAAACAGAAGATTTATACAGTGTGACCCATTTTTAATGGAAACACCCCCCTAAAATTTGAAGTTGTAAATCGATTTTAACAATTTTTTTAAATGTCAAGTACTAAAAGGTCTACCTTGGGACAAACTTTGAAATGTTTATTGAAGTTTCAGGGCCTACTACGATATTTTTTTCCTAGTCGAAAATCGGGATTTTTTATTAGCGATTTTTTTATTGAAAAAAATCACTACGCCACTGGATTCAGAGTGCCTCTAGATAGGTGTGACCAAAATTTCATGAAAAAATATTCATTATTAACAAAGTTATGACAACTCCAAAATTCGAAAACTCACACAGCTAACAGTCACAATATATAATTTTTTTTATGATTTCAACAATAAAGTGCCGCCAGATGAAAAAAAACAAACAAATAGCGTAAATATTTTTAATGAAAATAACGGAATTACATTCACACAATTCAACTAACAATGAAGCAAATAATTTTAATAAACGTAACTAATAACTAATTATTGAAATGTTTCGATTGAGTGTAACAATTAATTCTAACTCATATTCTAGTAGCCTCTACTAATCCACCACGTATTTCGATACATGTGTCGTAGCACTTACGAATGTTTCTGATTACGTTCCTTAGTTCTTGAGGGCTAATATCTGCACACACCTGTCGAATTCTTGCACAAAGTTCATTTCTATCTCTTGAGTGGTTTTTGAAAACCTTTTGTGAGAAAAGTCCCCAGAGAAAAAAGTCCAAAACTGTGGGGTCTGGAGATCTGGGTGGCCACTCTATAAACGGACTACCACGGCATATCCATCGGTTTGGAAAATGTTCGTTAAGCCATTGCCTCACAGCTCTGGCATAATGAACTGAACACCCATCTAACTGGACAATTAAATTTGATCGTTCATTGATTGGCAGCTCGTGAATAGCATCCCAAAACTCTGTGTTTGAAAATTCTAGAAACCTCTGCGCATTAATGTTTTTCGCAAAAAAGAAAGGACCAATAATTCGTTCATTCAATATCCCACACCAGACGTTGATTTTTTGGGAATACTGACTTTTACAGTTTATTACCCAGTTAGGATTATCCGCTGCCCAATAGCGACAATTCTGTGATGATGACACTACTCCATTTGTAGTGGACGTGGCTTCGTCGGTATATGAAATATTTTTTATGAAATTTCTATTGTTTAAATATTCCCCTTGGGCCCATAAACAATATTCCAGACGTCTTGCTTCGTCACCTTCTTGAAGTGTGTGTGAAAATTTTGGTTGAAAGGTTTAATATTATTCGCCTTGAGACTCTCCGAATAGTTTCTCGTGGAATATTCAAATCTAAAGTGGCATTCCTTATACTGGCATTAGGATTATTTCCGAAATAATCTGAAATGATTTGATCATTCCTGTCATTCCTGTTTCATCTTTGTACAGGATTACCTTTCAACATCATTTTTGATACTGCACCAGTTTCATTGAATATTTTATTTATTTTATTTACCGTACCGCAGCTAATACGAGGACGATCTGGATGTCTCTCATTAAATACTCTACAAACCTCTCTAGCACTTCTAACGTCATCTCACGAAAGGCGTACAATATCAATTTTCTCTCTTACGCTCAATCTTGCAGCCATGACACAAAATAATTCGAAGAACTGTAAGGTGAATATTGTTGACAATAGTACACTTAAATCTTTCACAAGTGTCAAACTGTAATATCATTTCCATGGCAACTAAGGTTTAAATTGAAATATTAGGTCTTAGTTTTAGTTAATTTGCGTGAAAACTTGAACGTAATTCCGTTATTTTCATTAAAAATATTTACGCTATTTGTTTTTTTTTTTATCTGGCGGCACTTTATTGTTGAAATCATAAAAACAATATTCTCGTGGCTATATATGTTGATATAGGGTGTTTTTTGTAACTGTTAGCTAATTGAGTTTTCTAATTTTTGAGCCGTCATAACTTTGTTAATAATGAATATTTTTTCATGAAATTTTGGTCACACCTGTTTAGAGACACTCTGAATCCAGTAGCGTAGTGATTTTTTCAATAAAAAAATCGCTAATAAAAAATCCCAATTTTCAACTAAGAAAAAATATCGTAGTATACCCTGAAACTTTAATAAACATTTCAAATTTTGTCCCAAGGTAGACCTTCTATTACTTGACATTTCAAAAAATTATTAAAATCGGTTCTCAACTTCAAATTTTAGGGAGGTGTTTCCATTAAAAATGGGTGTTTCCATTAAAAATGGATCACACATTCAGAACTGAACTCTTCAGGAGATCGTTTAGTTACCAGATTTGCAAAATATACAATTTCATTCCACCAAATTTCGAAACAGGAAGTATCGTAAGTTTCAAAACTCAACTCAAAAATCTTTTGTTCAAGACTGATCAGTAGATTTTCATTCATTATTTTCACATACCAAGGTTGAAAACTGCCGCTTTCACCAAAAACTGTATAGGCATTTTCTAATACTTTTTTATACAGATTTTTTCCTTGCCATATCAATAGGTACGCATAGGTATTTTACAGTGGAAGAACAACAGAGTAGCACTCTCCGCTGCTGAGATTTCACTTCCCTATATTTTATTTCAGTGAAGTTCGAAGTTAGAATATGGGTCCTTAATACAGGGTGAGTCAAGAACATTCCCTTGGTCCATTGCTACCGAAGCAAACAATTTTTTGAACTGCTCAATTTTTTTGCAGCCATATCGATAAATACTATCTTTTACAATTATTTTTTCGCACACTGGGTGATTCGGCCAAGCGTGGCCAACCAAAGTTATATTTTTTTTATAGAACACCCAGTGAAATATATATGTTTCTTATACTATACCTCTGATAAAAAAAATTGTGAAATGTTGAGATATTTCATACAAATGAAAAAATGCAGGGTGGTCCATCTGAAAAAGTTGAATTACGTCTGTTTGAAAATGAATGAAACTTTAACTTCGGTAAAACCAGTTTTACCGAAAGTTGAGATTCCTGAAATTATCACAGTGATGTTAACTAACTATTCCTAAAAAAATCCACCTTATTGCTGTAGACATATAATAATTATTATTCATTTATTCATCCGTAAATTATAATATTCAATACAACGTGGAGTATATGGAGTGCAATATACTTTGCAGAACAATTTGAAAAAATAGAACAATTATGACAATTAAAAACAGTATGGATCAAAAATATTATGATCCAGATATCAAATGAAAAAAAAAATAAACATTTATATTTCACACTACAATAAATTAGGACAATAGTCACTGAATGAAAAAACCACAGTTCGTAAAATCGAATGGATAATTTTTGCTCTATAAATTGGAAACTGTTAGGCAATAAAACTGTTCGAAAATAAACGCTACTACTATTATTAAACTTACCTCGTTTAAAAACTCGGTGACGTCGTAAACTCTGTCATATATGATTATCCAGCAGTCACTAGGATCGTCGTGGCAAGAAACTTCCTTCATGGTAATAATCTTTTCAGTTGGAGATTCTTGGACATTGGAGTTCAACTGAACTGCTGCCAAGGCATTAGACAATAACCCGGTAAGTAGTGATGCAGTGTCCATAATTTCGATTTGATTTTCAGCACGAAAGCAACCTTTTTTGAAAAATTTTTAGGAACTATTATTTTCGAGTCTTCCGTATATTACTTCATAAAAAGAAACAAATGGCCAGCCGAGAAGCACGTCAATGAATGATTATCGATCATTATCGTCAGCTGTTTAAATACTCTGGCCTGGTGGCATGATGAAAGAATGGGAATGTTTAACTTGACACTTCACGTAATTTGGCTTCCTTATCAAATTTCGTTATTGGTATATTTCGCTCGTGTAAAAAAACAGATTCGTCAATATAAAAGCAAGTTTTTACAATATTTCTTGTTATTATTATTCGAAATGAAAACAGGTTGAGATGAAATATCTTTTGTAATAAGAAATGGACGATAATAGTAGTGATAGTTTTTCTGTCACAAATATATACCTCACAAATATAAACCTGAAAGTTTTCAGTTTCAATTTATGCTTGAGTAAGCTATTATATAGCGCAACACGTCTCGCCGTTTTTGTGAAACCCTTTATAGTGAAAATCAGAGACAATAAACTGTATTAATTAGTTTTAATATGGATTTTCATCAAGTAGGTATCGGCCAGTTCTATTCGATTACTGAATAGGTAACACACTTTATGGCGGTTTATAATGCAAGTTCCTTCAACTCTGTTACGCCAGCAACGCAAAGTACGAAAATCGCATTTAGAAAATGCCAAAATTAGGTTATGTGTACACAAGATGAGGGACTGCCAATGGGATCGACACTTTCACCAGTCATAGCCAACATATATATGAAGTGGTTTGAAACTCTGCCCATTGAAGAAGCCCACAAGAAACCTCGAGTCTGGTTGAGATATGTTGACGACATCTTCATAATATGGAACCATATAGTTCATACCTGATAGAGCATTCGTCCTCGTTTTCGAGAGACCTGATTCTTAGATCTGTTGTTTAGCGAAATTGGAAGCTTTTGTTCATTAATTAGAAAATGTTACCATCCTCACCGTTTAGCATTTAATTAGCACCTAATAGTGTTCCCTTAAGATTCATTATTTTATTATTATTTTCATTGCGTTGCTAGCATCACATAATGCTACCAACGCAACTTTGAGTATTGAGTTGCGGTGAAAGTTACAGAGCACCTAATTTTTGACTTCGGTACCTAAAAAGCATCCAAAAAGTACCTAATTTTGGCATTTTCTGAATGTGATTTCCGTACTTTGCGTTGCTGGCGTAACAGAGCTAGTTCCTTCACCATCAGTTAAACTGATAGCATTATCTGCTGATCTATTCTGATGTTCCTTAATTATATTCCAACATTCCTTTACTTTATTATCCACCACTGCTATTCTATGGTGATTTGAGGTTCGTTTAGCAAGGTTTACTCTTTAGACCTCCCACCAAACGACTAGGTACCATATTTTCAGGCACTTCGGTAACTTTCTCATCGATAGACTGTTTGCTAATCAGGACCAGGCAAAAACGACTTTAGACGACTTCATCCCCATCCTCAAATATTTGGAAGGCTTCAACATCTTGAGCGATCATCAATATGACTTTCCGAAACAAAGATCAACAGGTCACCTTCTATCGTATTTCATCCATATTTGGAATAACGCAATCGAGAAACATGGAGAATCAAGAGGTGCTGTGCTTGATATTTCTAAGGCCTTTGAGCGTGTGTGGCATGAGGATTTGCTTGCCAAACTTCGATGCTATGGCTTGTCGAACGTTCCCTGCAAGTGGCCGTCAATGGATATCTCTCGAATATTTTCACCATCAATGCTGGTGTTTCCCAGGGATCCATATTGTCTCCAACATTATTTTTATTGTATATCAACGACTTATTGGAAAAACTAGGAATCCAATATATTGCTTTGCTGACGACAACACACTTGTTTCGTCATTCCATTTGGATTCCAGGACATCGACTACTGAGGCACATCTTCACCGGCAGCAGGAGGTCGTATATCTTGATGAGGATCTAGAAATGATATCAAATTGGGTTGAAATTAACCAGGTTCAATTCAATGCCACACAAACCCAGGCATCGGTTTTCTCCAAGAAGATAAATGTCTCCGAACCGGATATAATAATGTCAGGTCAGACAATTCTGGTTTCTGCTTCGATAAGTTTGCTGGGGGTTAAAATGGACACTAATATGTCTTGGCACAATCATGTAACTGGAATTGCAAAGGCTGCTTCTCAAAAGCTTGGAACACTGTTCCGAACCAAAAAAGTGTACACACCTCAGCAACTTGTGATGCTTTATAAAGGACAAAACTTGAGGCATTCTTGATATTCTTGAGAAATTTAATTTTTGAAATTTCATCAGTTTTTATAAATCGAAAATGAAGGAAATACTGAACAGTATAACTTTTGGAAAAAGGAATCCATGCTGATGTTATTGATGACAATCTTGTCGATCACCAGTTGTATATTCACATTGTTCCAGAAGGACAAAAATGTATTTCTCTATATTCACTGTTTTGTGGATATCCATAACCAAGTCAGTAGATCGCAATAGTTTCAATGAAGTCAAGTAAATTTATGGATTGCAGTTTATCAATAATTCAATACACATTTTGAGGTTTGATTTAACCACATGTCAGTTAGATTGAATTTATAGGAAGTACTTATATGAAGATATAAAATAACCGTTGTCAGTTTCCGTCAAAGAACAAGGTTCTCACCCATATCAATATTATGCTATTGATTACATCTCGCTCGTACTGAAAATAGAAAAATGATATGCAATCTAATATATAAAACAAAGTCGAAAAATCATGTTAGTTACAACATTTATGGCAGGACCCATTTTCATGACTGATTTGTTAGGTTTATCTACGATCGAAAAAGCAGAATAGCTATTGAAACATTGAGAAAATGATTTGAAGATTAAAAAAATCGACGGAGCGGCGCGGCATGTGGTTCGTTATTATTATGCGCGCAAATTTAATCGAGGTGCAGCTTGTCAAATGTAGGAAAGGCTTTCTAAATTTCGGTAATTACGGTCGTGTTCACTAGAGAGAAAGAAATAGAGAGAGAGAGCGAGATGATTCCTGAGTCTCTTCCTAGGTTTGACAAACTGTAATCGCATTTACGATTGTGCAGGCATATTATTGTTGCCATAATAGAAGAAAATTCAGCAATAGCCGTCACAATATTGCCGCCAGCGAGAAGATGAAATGTTTCACAACGGAATCATGACGCAATACTGCGGAATATTGCGAATTGATCTACTGCAGATGAAGAAAAAATTGCATGAGAATAGGGCCGTAATATGTGGCCTACTGGCAACACAGATTACGGCTCTGGAGCAGTTGGCAACTGACCCTTTTTTTCTCATCTTCAGCGATGAGACACATATTTCTGAATGAATGGGTACGTGAACAAACGAAATTTTCTAGTATGGGACGATACCAATCCACATGAGTTCAAGAGCTACCAATTCATCCCGAAAAAGTCACTGTTTGGTGGAGATTTTGCCGGCCTCATCGGTCATTTAAGAATGACGTTGGCCAGGCCATCACTGTCAACGGCAAGCTCTATAGCTCGATGATTTCCAACTTCTTTTGAACTGAATTACATGATCTGGTTTCAACAGAACGATGCTATACGTGCCACACAGCTCATGCCCCATTGGATATTCTGCACGAGCGATTTGAGGGAATGGTCATCTCACGTGGAGGTGATGTGAACTAGCCACCAAGATCATGCGATTTAACCTCGTTAGACTTTTTTGTGATATATGCAAATATGCCACAAACCACAGCTCACCTTACAGCCGACATAACACATGCCATCGGTAAAATTTAGCCTGATTTATGAGCCTGAATCATATAACATTGGACGTTTACACTCCACCCACAGAAGACGTGGCGGGCATTATACTCCATACATAATAGCATCGAGAGATTTTTTATATGAATAACAAAATTCAATTATATATTTGAATTCAAAGATAGAAAAAGACCGATTACTGTGCAGCGAACATGACAGCATGGCAGTGTCTACAACTGTAAATTACGAAACTACACCACTGAAGTCATCAAATCATCCCACCAAATGATTTATATTTTATTACTGTTTCTTTTGAAAATATAATAACGCACAAGTTACTTCTGTAACTTTTGTGATATTGTCTGTTTATTCAACTAAACAGTTCATTTGATGGAACATATGTATATATAATGATATTTCTGTGAATAAATATTATTATTAGATGGTGCTTCTATGTAAAAAAAGGATTAAAACTGTCCAACAATAATAGATCAATGTCGTGGATCAGTGTTGCCAATGACATGGTAATTTTCCAGCAAAATTTGTTCTGCGTAATTACTATTTATTCACTCCTTTGCGGTTTTGATATTTAAATAGACAATTTCCCCCAATTGGGCCTGGGTATCGAACATTTTATATCAATCGAATGATTGAATGATGACTTGTCATCATGTAAATTGAACTTCGCCTTTTGTCATCTTATAATAAATGAACTGTACATGATTAATTTGATTTGAATGTATTAGAAGATAATAAAGACGGTATTATTATTATTATTATTATTATTATCGATGAGTAGATTGACTTTTAAAGCACCATATTTCATATTATTTGTTGCTCTGAATATTCATTATTATCTTAAAACGCCAAATTTTTCAAAACGTTAGGTTATAGCAAAAATCGAGTAATTTCAGACACATTTGTGTAATTTAACGATTCATCATTGGCAACACTGAAGTCGATAGTAGAAATAGGAAACTGCGCATGCGCAAATATTCTATGGGAAATTAGAAATGAAAGAAGAAAATGGAAAGTGGACTCACTTTTGGGCTTTATTCTCAGTATTCTCATTCTAGTTTGGGTTATTGGGTTGGCAACAATTAAGAAATTAGGTAATGAATGACTACACTGAGGTACGGTAAATAATGCAGAATGAAATATATAATATTTAATATTCACTATTCATCAGAAGTGATGCGTGAATAAAATTTGGAAATCCTCATCATTGAAAGAAAATAATATTGTAGAAAATGACTCCTGTAGAATAACAAATATAAGATCGGATTGGGAATCTATTTAAAATAATAATGGAGTCAACAAAAAGAGTGAACATTAATTTGGAAGAAAGGAGATTATGGATAGGAAACTTAGATCCTAGGGTTACTGAGTAAGTATTTAGAATATTCTATATTTGGTTAGTTACCTCATGTATCAAAATAACAGCTAATATTAATGGCTAGATCTAGTCAGAGACTTTATTTTGACAGCTTAGATCTCTTGTTGATTAGTACATTCAAGAATGACAATTAAATTCTTAATTCACAAAGCTGTCCAGATAAATGTAGTCAAACACATGGATAATTCAAGTTGTCTCTTTCATATGATTTCATGGCCATACAATTCATCAACATTTACAATTTTAACTTACACACACTTTTTTTTATCGGTATCAACTTTTGAAACTTGTTCAAAAACATGGTGACATTGAAAAGTTTGATCTAATATTTCATCGAAATGGACCTCAGGCTGGATTACCTAGAGGATATGCTTTTGTGACTTATATACGTAAGGAAGATGCCCTTTCTGCTAAAAATGCGCTGAATAATCTACACGTTGGAGAGAAGAGCATCATTGTAACCTGGGCGCATAGTATGAACAATGTAAGTATAACAATCAAACAAATCAATGTGAAAGAAATAAACAATAACATTTCAAATAAACCATCTGTTATTTACTCAACTCACAAAAAATATTGGATTACTTATATTTATTACTTTACAGCAGCAACCTTTATTAGTGACTTGGAATCCTCAGTTTATTTAATTTACTTATTCTAGTCTTGTAGTTTTTGTAACCAGCTTGTTATTGATATATTAAGTTTTTTTATGACCTCTGGTAATAATTGATGTTCCTTAATAACTCATAATTTGATTGAAGTGGAAGTGGTGAGAGTAATTACATTGCTTGAGGAAGGTAGACCTATAGTAGATGCTATCGTTTCTTGAAGTTGGATAGACCTAGTCCATAGCTTGTTTTCATAGTTTTTTTGGAAAGAATGGAGTTGATGGTATCTACTTTGTTGTTGGCAGCGATTTGTTTCATGAAACTAGACTTTCTCTGAAAATTACTTTTGTGAAACATTCAATAGTATGTGAAGTATACTATTGAATGCAGTTATTTTATGGTGTTTACAGATGTGCGGAGGAATTATGTACGACAATGTCTGTGTAAGGTGGTTTGTGGAAAATTGCAAATTCATGATTATTAATTTTCGTAATAGTCAAGTGAAGATAATTTAGCAGCTCCCAGCTGCTCAAAATTTCCATGTCTGCCTGCAAAATTAGAAACCATCTGAAAACACAACGTGAGTGCTAGACTTCCAGTCACAGGTCCATGATCTTCTAGAGTCTGATGTGCCTGCAGCATACTATCCTAGATTCAATCTACAGTAGAAGTCCGATAATCTGGCACGTTCGGGACCTGCTCGGTGCCGGACTACCGAAAATTCCGGCGTAGGCTTTGCCATAAAACAAATGCAGTTTGTTTTTTAACTACATACATACATGAATCGTACTTATAATAACAATTAGGTTAATAATTGAACTACAAATACAGAATGCAAATACAACAAAGTTTATTTTACATTTCATATAATGTATGTACATGTGTTAGGAATCACACGTTAAAAGGTAAGACTTCGTTAGTCCTTAGCATGCACAAGTTACTCAACTTCTGAGAGTTGTCGTTCGTATGGGGGGCGACAGCTGATTAACAGAAAAACAGATTTTAAACAGATGTACTGTAAAACATATTTCACTCAGATTTAAAAAAGTCATGAATGTCTTTTTGTTTTCTTGACTTTTGGCGTTTAGTATAAAATTTATATCTAATGATATGGAAATCAATAATTTCTGAAGCACTGTAGCTAGTATTAGCCTCAGCAAAAGAGATAAACTTATTTAGAGTGATTCTGCAGTTTCTGCCCAGATAATTTTTTCCTTTTCTGCTGTTTTGGCATCTGAGTCACTTTCTTCAAGATTTTTCAGTAGGCTGAAGAGAGAAAACCAACATTTTTACAATATTCCGCAGCGATGCCGGACTATGGGGCATTCCGGACTGTTGGATGCTGGACTAATGGACTTCTGATTGATTCGGTCGTTACTTGATGAAGATCCATTGTGATTTCAAGAACAACACCTCACGATTTGATCTCCACAAACTTTATTTGAAAAATATATCACAACATGTTTCAGTAGGACAATAGCTTTTTCAAGTGATTTATACATCAGATTATTCTTACATTACTATTTATATACTACAGGTAACCATAATTGAGATTACCTTCAAGAAATTACCTGAACTTCTACATAACGTACCTGTTCAATTATGATCACCTGAAGCATATTGCCTCACATCTACATCAATAATGATTCTTTCTCAGTTTTTAAGAAAACAAGTTCAATAATGGTGATCTATTCAAATCTAGTTGGTCATTTATTAGAGTGTTTGATTTTCAAGTTTATTAATTTCCATTGCTTCCAAATGATTCAGTTTCAAACCTTTATTTTCTATGTGCAAAATTTCGAACTCTTCATTAAAATGTGATTTTCTTCTAGAAGATGATTTGAATATGTTGAATTTGTTTTCTCATTTACATAGCTCATTTACATCATACGAACTATGTAAATAAGAAAACAAATTCAACATATTCAAATCATCTTCTAGAAGAAAATCATATCTTTAACGGAGAGTTCGAAATTTTGCACATAGAAAATAAAGGTTTGAAACTGAATTATTTGGAAGCAATGGAAATTAATGAACTTGAAAATTCAAACATTCTAATGAATGATCAATTGGATTTGAATAGATCACCATTATTGAACTTGTTTTCTCGAAATCCGAGAATGAATTTATTATTGATGTGGATGTGAGGTAATATGCTTTGGGTAATCATAGTTCAACAGGTACCTTAGGTGGAGGTTCAGGTAATTTTTTAAAGGTAGTCTCAATTATGGTTACCTGTAGTATATAAATGGTAATGTAAGAATAATCTGATGTATAAATCACTTGAAAAAGCTAATGTCTTAGCGAAACATGTCATATATTTTTCAAATGAAGTTTGTGGAGTTCAAATCGTGAGGTGTAGTTTTTGAAGTTAAAAAAACGACAGTTATAGGGCAGGCTCAATTATGGTGTTGTGCAGAATTTTGAACCATGTACACATGTAGCCCTAGGGAAAAATTTGTGGCCGATAGGTATATAAAATATTCTTAGAGGACATTATATTTTATGAAACATTTATTGGCGATAATTTTGTCTTCATACGTGATGATGCTAGTCTGCATACTACCAGAGTTGTAACTGAATACCACCTCAAAATGATCAGCAAAAAGCCTGGATTTCAAATCAGTTGAGCATGTGTGGGACTGCCTTGAATGTGCTGATCTACTCTTGGATAGGTTAATCTGGGACAACAATAATTCATAACCTCAAAAGCTTGCGTTTTTGTAAAACTGTTTAGTGAAAATCTCATGATAAAGTGTTTCTTCAATAACAAAATCTTACTTATTCATAGCAATTTAAGTGTCAATCAATTGTTATAAATCTTATAAAACTAATTACTGAAAACTTGCACTTTTTTTGAAAATTAAAAGTGATGCGTTATTTGTTGTGTGAATTTTAAAATGTTATGATCCTATTGTATTTCAGGAGGAAATTGAAAAACCAAAAGAAGAAATATTCATACCCGCCCTGGCTATATCGAAGGAAGGCAAAAAGGCAGATCGGGTTTCCCAAATACAAGCAATTGAAGCCAAACTAAAGTTGATGGAGAAGAAGGCAGAAGATGAATTGAAGATAAATGATTCTGTAGCAACTAAACAACCTGTAATAGTTCAATATCAATCCAACAAGATCCAGAGTATAAATTCTACTAGTGGTTCAAGTAATTTCAGACATAAACAGAACTCAAGACGGAGAGATAGACATAGTAAGCCTTACAGCAGAAATAAACTGAATAGATGAAATCTTTCAGATTTATTGATATTTGATACCCGAATTCGTAAGTTATTTATTACCACCATTTTGTGTTGTATAGTAATGACTTAGGCATAATATAAGTGAAAGAATCTCAGATAATGTACTGTTCTAACTCATTAAAAAAAAACCTGAAAGCTAAGAATCGGTTTATTTTATTTCAATGTTTGGGAGAAGTGTTGATAGTTATTAAACCAACAGCTGACATTTTTAATATCTCATACTGGAGGTCGACACCCTTCTATAAAATATTTCTGGAAAACCGAAACACCAATCATTTCTTTATTCCTTTTTCGTGTTGAGCTAGGATCTTCTGATTTTGTCAAGTACTGGCAAAATGTTAATTATCAAAAAATTGAACAAGGGTTATTTTGTTGATCTAAAGCAAATGAACTTTAAACGTTCAGGCCAGTCTCCATATACCTACTCAGTAGGTTGAATGGACTGACGCCTATCAGAAAACAACTACTCCCCTGGCTAATACCACGAAGGGCGTTGGATTATATCTGACAGGCGTCAGTGCAGGAATCTTCACAGAAAATTTCTTGCATATGCAATTGGCAATAAAACTGAAAGAGTCGACCCTCAATTTTGGATCAGGCACACTTGCAGACCGGTTTCGCGTTCATTAGCCACTCGTCAGTGCAAGACAGTGACCTTCATTGACCTAAAGTCAATGATATTCCAGAATTGAAAATCGGAATTCTTTCAGAGTATTTCATTCCTCTTCCTAAGTTGGCGCGATTAACAAAATGTCACTCCATCTAGTGGACGAGGTACTAACCAACTGCATATCCGTAGTTAGTAACAATTACCCGGCAAACATGATTTCGTCATATTGTGATATGTTGGTCAGCATTTAAATTATAATGCCACACAGTTTCATCGGTTGTACCACAGGGTTTTCATTTAGGGCCATTGCATTTAAACCTATTTGTAAGTGACTTGATAGATGTTATTCTTTATAGTGAATTTCCTTTGTTTGCTGATGACCTGAAGATGTTTGAAGTTATTCGTGACTCAACTGATACAGAATTATTACAGTACGATTTATCTACTTTTGTTTGCTGGTGTGATATAAATCTACTGCAATGCCAAAAACTTTCTTTTTTCTGAAACAAAAATCCCATTAATCGGCCATATAAAATCAATCAATCAGAACTGAAAACAACAAACAACCAGAGATTTGGGAATCACTCTCGAGCCAAAAATGTCATTTAAACCCCAGTGAGAGAGGGGGAGGGAGGGAGAGAAAGAGAGAGAGAGTTTCTATTCAGAATGTGATATTTTTGTTATTCCATTTGGACCCTTCAAGTACATAATTCCTAACAAATTAATTTATATGCAAGTCTAATTACAATCTAATTACAACCCATAAAGGTGTGTTTCAACTCTCCACACTGCCAATTTAATTAGAATTCTACATTATACGTTTTTTTGGTTATATGCGTGTATTCTATTTTACACTCATTCATAGCTGTAAAACATATTTGTCTTGTAGTTGGGATTACTCCTGTTAGACAATAAATCCTTTTTTATTCTGTTAAATCACTGTTAGAATTCCATGAGTGATAAAGAGTTACCTACAAAAGTCTACGTGTTGATTTGCACATATATCCTACGGCTCGTTTTTGCAAAGTAGAAATATTTTGAGGTATATAACCACTACATACACCTCAAAATGGAATTCTTTATCTTAGTCATAGCTGCTGTTAAACCAAGTTCATTTGCGACTACTCTGACTACATAACAACCAGTTGACACTTTGTTACACAAGGTGTAAATATGGTTTTCAAATTTTAATTTACTATCGATTTGTAATCCTCAAAATTTCAAGCTACTTTTCTTCTCAATGATGTCATTCTCAATGGGTATATTGTCAAGTTTACATCTGAAAGTTACTATATTAGTTTTCTCAATATTTAGAGACAGGCGATTTGAATCACACCAACTCTTTACTTTCATCATATTGTTGGATATGATTTTAGTTGAATCACCTTTGAATTGAATGCATTGCTCCTTAAGGAGACATCGGAACTATTGCTTGAATCCTTAACACTCCTAATGAATCAGTGCTTCACCTCAGGAGTTTTTCCTGACATATTTAAAATATCTAGAGTCTTACCGATATTTAAAAAAGATGATCCCAATATTTTAAGCAACTTTTGCCCAATTTCAATTATAAATATTTTTTCAAAAATAGTGTTGAAAGATAGATTGACAGATTATTGCGAAAAAAATAAGCTTATATCAAACACCTAATATGGTTTCCGAAAGAACAAATCAACAATAAGGGCTTTACTGAAGATCATTGGAGATATTGTCGAAGGTCTTGAGATCAAGCAACATGCAATTATCACCATGTGCGATTTAACCAAGGCGCTCGACTGCGTCTCACATGACCTTCTGTTGCTTAAGTTAGAGCGTTACGGTATCAGGGGTGTACCTCTCAAACTATTATCATCCTATCTACATAACAGACATCAGCTAGTAAAAATAGGTACAAATATTTCTGATCTTCGAACCACCAAATATGGAGTTCCCCAAGGCTCGGTACTTGGACCGTTATTCTTTATCATATATATAAACGACATCTGTCTACATACTACTAATAGTACTTGTACTATTCTCTTTGCTGACGATACTTCTTTTATCAACACCTCTTCAAATCTATCTACACTTTTACAAATGGCAGATGAATCCATTCACAATGCAAAAAATTGGTTTTTCGCCAACTTCATGCAGTTAAATTAATTTAATCGTTTCAGCAAACAACAACTACACAACAGGTGCACATTGTAAACTTCTTGGTATTACAATCGATAACTCTCTTAATTGGTACATGCATACAGGTCTATCCAGTATCTTGTTTCTTCTAAGAAGGCTACGATGTATTGTTGATCCAGAAAATTTGAGAAATACATATTTTGGTTTATTTCACTCCCGAATTAGTTATGGCACAATATTATGGTGTAATTCCTGCCATGTCGCAAACATTTTCAGGTCTCAAAAAAAGGCCATACGCCTGATAACCGGAGTAGGTCCTAAAGAGCACTGCCGTGACTTATTTATCAAACTGAGAATAATGACGCTTCCATGTATTTACATTTTCCAAACTGTCTGTGAAATACACGAAAATAAAAGAAACTATTCTTACACCTCTGATATTCACACACATGATACTTGATCTGCTAACGAAATAGCGTTGCCGAGATTTCGTTTAACAAAATCCAAAACGAACTCCATAAATTTAAAACTTCACAACAAGTTGACTTCAGAGATGCGATCACCGGAATTCTGAATTCAAAAGAGCTATTAGAAATGTACTTTTAGATCACTGTTTTTATAGTATTAATGAATTTTTAAATAGTTATCTATAGTTTAAATAGTTAAATAGTAATCTATTGATTAATATATTGAACAATAATCCTTCACTGATATATTCATATTCGTGAAGTATGTTGCTTTACAACATATTTTTAATGTGTACGTTATACTATATTGTATATAATATATATGTAACAAAAAGTTTTTTATTGATTTATATATACCACGTCTCTCTATGACCACTTTTGATATATGACATGCTGTCATATATATGACATTTGACATGCTGTCAAATAAATTTATGTATCTATCTATTGGCTTTAATAAATTGCAGTAAGCAATCCAGCCAAATTTTAATACTTAGTAAGCAGTGATAGATCTAATGAATATGTATAGATGTTTGAATTTAAGTAATAATGGTGTTGTAATATTTTTAGATATTTTAGGCATTTGAGTCAGTTAACTGTACAATTTTATTAGATATTGTATACTCGTTTAACTCGGGAGTAAGAGGTCATTGTTGCAAAAAATTTCAAAATTATTTTCAAAATCAATTGATATGTAGTGATGAATAATTGTAAAAGTTTTAAAACAGTTTCAATATTTGGTTTCCCTCAAGGTTCGGTTTTGGCATCAATTTTTTATTTGCTCTATGTTGGTAATATTAAAAATATAGGTTTGATGGGTGATCACTTTTTTTTTTTTTAATTTCTTATTTTTCTTTAAATAATGCCTCTCCCACTGAACAGCAACAGCTCAGAAGAGTAAATCTATACAGTGTGGAAACATGAAAATCGTTAGAAGACAAAAACTAAATCATTTGAAAATAGTTCAACAAATGTACTGATAATTATAAATAAATCATGAAGCTGAAAAAAATTGTTTATTATTTAAAAAAAAATAGAATAAGAATGATGGGAAAATGTATTGTAGTTTTATTCTAGGCAGATTTTCTTGAAATACATCATTTACATACCTATTCATTTTGATGATTTGAGACTTTTACTTGAAAGAGAAAAGAAAAATATTTTGAAATATAGATTAATCTGTCTGTACAGATTGTTTAAATGTTTTTAGTCTATATGTATGTATTTCTCATAACTGCATTACATTGTATTTTGTAAATTGTTTTTTCAAAGGAATGTTTCATGTCTTGAAGCTAAAATTGTTGTATTTTGAGTGTGAATAGAATATAGTTTTTTCACTAATCTTTGTGTTTACTTCCTCCTTCAGAGAAACGTCCCTAATAATATACTCAACAAACTCCATGACTTCAAAATGAATGAGCATTGAATAACCAAAACCAAAAAGTGATGATTTTATTATTTTTTTATGTTGATTTTATAGGGCTTGTTTTTTGTTCAGAAATGATTATGTGATCTTGTTTTTCAAACATGAGCAACACGATTGAAAGCAACTTGTAGAACAAAACAGACATCTCCAATGGTGTATTTATTGACTGCGAGAACAAAAGTAGTTTCTCGAAGTGTCAGCAACAACTGACTGATGATCTCTGTGTTCACTCGTGTTTATACGACACGAAATCAGCTGCCTTGGATTCTCCTGCACGCTCTCACAGACATCAGCGATGTTTTCTGCAGATCTTGCGTTTCGTTGACGTACAGGTGTTGGTCGATTGTTTGCTGAACCAGTAGATTCACATTGCAAATATTCCTCTTGGTGGGACGATTATGGCCACCATAAAATGGGCAAAGTGCGCGGTACGTTGCCCAAACAGAACACTCATTTTGATAAAACAATTTCATTATTTGCACGTGTTGTTGAATGCTATTTCCGTCCATGGTGATTTGGTAGAACAGACTGAATAAATGAGAGCTATTTTGACAGATGCAGCTTTATCAGGATGCCCCAATTGTTGAAGTTCGGAAATCCCTGTTGGAAGACCCTTTATATAAAGTGAGCGGCCAATATGGAACAAATTCGTTTTTCCACAAGCGATGTACTTTTAACAAAAATCCTGAATTGGGTCGATATTTATTTTTGATTGCCGATTATTGAAAATATCACGTCATTCGGTGATTTGTTTGAATACAAATATGGGTCTTGTGATACTTCATCTGAGAGGCATTTTAAGATTTCATTCAGTGATGATCATTAATTTGATATCTTTGTATTAGGTGATCAGAAATATTTTTTCCAGCAGAGAAAGAACCCCATAGGTATCTGACAAATTACCACAGTTAAATAAGATGCTGGAGTAAAGGGGAATGTTCCTCCTATCGAAAATCAAGTAGTTTTCATAAAAGAGCTCTAAAACAACGCATTTTAAACTTATCATTTCAACCTTTTTCTTTAAAAAAATATTTGAATACTTAGAAAAGAGGAATGAAGTAATGCATTTAACATTTAAAGGATTCGTTTCTATTTCACCATTCGCAACATCGGTTATAGCTAATGAAGGACAATGAATCTGTTACCTGAATGAGACAAAGATGACATATTTCAGAGGCGAGCTGTTATATTTACTTATGTTCCGAGTTCCGAGACAGTCTGTGACATATGACATTTTGTGCACCTAACCTATCTTCCTCTATATAAAAAACCAACAAAACAACTGTTGTTTATGTGGCTTGTGGAGGTGGTATTGATCTATAATTTATATTTTGCGTTAATTGTTGATTTATAAAGATAATTTTCCTTTTTTAAAGTAGAATATCTAGGTACGTATAAATGATTTCAACTTGATATAGGCGCTGTTGCCAATATGTGAGTTAGAAATAAATCCCTTTAAAAATTAAAATCCAACATTTGAAACATCAATTTGAAAACTTTTCGGAGTGAATTTGAAAAACTCATGAATCAAACTCAACTTTATTTTGTTCAAACTTGCATCTGCTGTAGTAACCCAAATTGAGGAACATTCCCCATTCTGCTAATTTCAATCTTTCTCTGCTTACGTTCTTCTGATTTGTGGAAAAATCAAGCAAACATTTTTCTATAACTTGAGCACACTTGAAACAGAAATATGAATAAAAAAAAATGCAAAACAATCTGGATGAAAGATTTTGGTTTGCTACGTCTCCATCTTAATAAAAAAAAATGTGGGAATGTCCGAGAATCTTTCTCAAAAATCAGTCTCTCCTAAAAATAAATCCCCTTGAATTTTAATCGTTGTATATTTGTATATGTAAAAATGAAATAACCAAATTGAAAATATCGTTTTTACACGCTTTATATTAGCTTCACCTGTATGTATGTTTGTCAGTTTGCTTGTAACTCTCAAGCTCGGAATCTATTTCAAAGAATTATCGACATTATTGCTTGATTTATTCGCGGGCAGATGGCGCTGTACGCAACCGAAAATATCAATGGTCATTTTTCTACACAATATACGGCTGATTGATTCTAAAGTTTAGATAAAATAAATACAGTTTAAAAAGCATACGAAACTGAAAAATGAAACCTACATATAGTTTAAAAAACTAAAAAACACGCTTTTAAAGAACTGATTTTTACTTTCATACAAGGAGATTATAAAATGATATATAACTCATATAAAAAACCCGATCTATATAGTTTCACAGTTGACTTCCGTCACAACAATTCTACTATAAAAGTGTAAGTAACAAGCACCGTTAAAATCCCAAAAAACTATAATTAATGGTTTTAATTATTCATCTAGTTTTCAATTTTGGAAAATGGTTTATTCATCAACTCCTCTACGCTGGGTTTGGAACAATTTTCTTGAATATCATCGGTAAACCAATTTTAGACTGGAGCACGAAAGATTTTGTCGCAAATTCTACTGGATTTGGAGTCTTGTCACATTTTTCAACTTCAAAATTCAAGAGTATATGAAGCAGTGCCAATTTCGATGCCATCAAGCCGAATCGTTCACCTAGAAAAAAGTTTAAATTATCGAAAAAAGGAGGTGAAAATTTCATCAGATCATGCAAATGCACTGAAGTGGTACAGAAAGAAAGAGATTTTATTGATCTTAAATTACAATTTCTGTCACATTCGAAAATATCTGCAATAACAAAATTTGCTTAGGTACGTCTGCTGAAAATAAAAAAAGATATACATACAGTACATAAGGAAAAATCTCACAATACAAAAGTTATGACTCACAATATGGAATACCTCCCCAATCTAATAGTAAGCTTGGGTGACAAGTGAATTTTTTACTTTGAACTCCAATTCTTTTATATGAATGTCTTTCCACTCACTAGGCAAAGTGTTATATATTTTTATGCGAAAAAACTTCGTTTGTTTGACTGTGTTTTGATAATGCATCTTCGGTAGCCAGGTGATGTTTTTGTGTTTTGTATCATCATTGTGAATCTTGGAGTCACTATTATATTTATTTTCATGTACAAACAATATTGCTTCTAGAATATAAAGGTAATGTAAGTATGACCCATCTTATGCAGATTGGTTCATGGGTTCTGGAATCAACTTTTTCTAAATCTCTTATTTATTTATTTTTTTTGATAACGAATAGTTCACTTGCATGTGAGGAAGCACCCTATATCAGTATTCCATAGTTTATGTGGCAATGAGCCATGCCAAAATATGCAATTCTCTGCAAATCGTTCAAAACTAAACTCCTTAGTCCTCTCAATGCGTAAAGACATCTTTTTACATAACGATGTCGTATGTCCATTCCAATTCAATTTGTTGTCAAGGTGGAATCCTAATAGACACACCTCTTTGTCACCGCCAGACATTTAGGATCTATTTGCAATGGTTATTTCCTGAGTCTTATTTGCGTTCAAGCATAGAACATAGCGCTAAAGTATGTTTCGCATTTTGCCAGTGTTTCACATGACAACTGATCTAGTTTCCCCACTTGTTGGTTACTTATGACAAAAGTTGCATCATCGGCATATAAAAAAACATCTGCTGTATCAATATATGTAGGAAGATCATTTATGTATACAATAAATAAAAGGGGACCAAGTACGGATCCCTNTAAAAAAAAAAAATTAAAGTGCTAATTTATGAAGCGAACAAATTATTGTGACAGATAATCTCGACAAATGATGAAAAATGCTAAATATAAAAAAGAAAAATATTTCAAACCAGGTTACTTCGCAACGTTTCGATTGTTAGAATCCACAATTCGGTTTGAAATCGCTTTTTTTCCTTTTTTAATTATTACATTTTCATTTTACTTTTATAATTGATACATCACTTTCATATATTTCAGGTCACAATAATTTCTTTGCTTTACAAATTATCATTCTTACATTTTTCAATTTTTTCACTCAATGCTTATTCACTCTGTGAGGTATGTCTGGAAATAATTCAATATTCAGAGTGGTATTAGCCAGAGAAATAGTTGTTTGGGCTGAAAAATTCGTAGGCTAACACATAGATAGCCCAACTGGTATCGAATCCATATTAATAAACGAATTTAAGCTTCAAAAGACACGTGTACTAATTTCACAGCTGTCGGACTACTAGTTTGTGGGATAGAATATTTTGAGTGAAGCAACTTTTGTTAGTTTGAAGGAATTTCGTGTTTTGATAAAGCATTGCTTTTTGTCGAAAAAAAAAAGTACTGTTGAAGCCAAAACTTGGCTTGATAAACATCAAACTATGCACCAGGAAAATCATGATAAATGGTTTGCTGAGTTTGAACGAGGTGAAATGAGTAAATGATGCACACAGTGAACGCCCCAAAGAGGCTGTTACCGACGAAAACATAAAAAAAGTGCACAAAGTAATTTTGGATTACCGCAAAGTGAAGTTAATCGAGATAGGTTATGGTATCACTATTATTGGTTAAACTAATGGGGTACCATAAGGTTCTAATCTTGGACCTCTTTCATTTTTAATTTTTATTAATGACTTGGCAACCTCTTTGAATATTCCTAACCTACACCTGCAGACGACCTGAAACTATATTATAAAATCGGCGACATTAATGACTGCCAATGTGTACAACATGAATCAGATGTAATCAAACTTTGGTGTAATAATAATCGTCTACAACTGAACGTATCCAAATGTAAAATAATATCATTTAGAACAAAAAAGCGAACTTTAATGTAGGATTATTCAATCAACAATAGGTACTCCAATCAACCGCGTACATGGGATAACAGATCTTGGTATAACATACGACAGTAAATTAACATTTCCAACACATATAAGGAATATGACTGCTGATGCAAATAGGATGCTTGGATTCATTTACAGAAATGGCAAAAACTTCAAAAGTATCGCCACCTTAAAATTGCTATATTTTGCGTATTCCAGATCTAAGTTAGACTATGGCTCTGTGTTATGGAATCCAGTTTACCACTACCAAAAACATCAATTGAGAGGCATCGATCGTAACATTTTGTTGACACGATTTGATATTACATCTTTGGAAAATAGGAGACTTATCCTTGGTATGAAATTCCTGCATAAATTACTAAACAACAATATCAACAGTGCGGTTCTTTTACCCGAGATCAATATCTTAGTACCAAGAAGTGAAGGTCGATACAATCTGAAGTTTTATTGCGAAGCATCACGTACAAATGTGATGCTACGATCACCATTGAATTTATGTGCAGTAGCTTCAGTAAAATCTGTGAACATTTTATTTCAACTCTCTGAACGCCTTGGTATCATGTATCCACAATCACTTTTCATAATACCACAAATAACATTTATGTCAGTACTGCTACATTGCATGATTTGTGACTTTTTGTGTTAAATACTCAATTTTTCATTTCTCTTTTGAAATTCTACGTATTCAAATATTTTATATATACCTACTCTATTTTAGCATTTACTTTTATACATTTCTATATTTCATTATTTTTAATATTCATTTCCTATATAATCTGTAAAAAAAGCATTTCCTGTAACTGGGTACTCCTGTCGGAAATAAATCGCTTTTTTTATTATGCGATGCGCATGGTATATTGTTCATTGACTTTCTTGAAAAAGGGAAAAAACCATCAACAGCGACTTCCTATTACATGGCGTTATTAGAGCGTGTGAAGGACGAAACCGCGGAAAAATTGCCCCATTTGAAGAAAAAAAAGTTACTGTTTTATCAAGACAATGCCCTGTCCCACAAATCAATAAAAACGGTGACAAAATTGTATAAATTGGCCTACGAATTGCTTCCATATCCACCGTATTCTCCAGACCTGCTCCCTGCGACTTTTTCCTGTTCTCAGACCTCAAGACAACTTCAATAATAAAGGTGAATTTTATAAAAAAAAATTGTTTTGTCGGCCTACGAATTTTTCAACCCAACTATTGAGTTGCGATTGATGAACGTTTCGTGATTTCATTTCAAAATAATCATTTTCGCATACTTATCTCTTCTCGATACAGCCTTCAGACTGATTTTTGTCTCATTTTGGTAACGTAATGGATTCTTTGTCCAATAGTTACAAAAAACAAGTTTTTTCATCAGATGAAAGTGAATGAGTCGGTTATATAGATACTTCATATACTTCGGATTAATTTCCTACAATTGAAAAACCTTCCGTCTTACCTATACAACTTCTTGGTCCATCGCCAAATGGCATATAAATCAATCCATTCTCATTCAATTTACTGTCTGAAAATCTTTCAGGGTCGTATTTTGCTGGACTGGGAAAGTATTTCTCATCCATTTGCAGGCCATAGATAGGAATGAAGACAGGTGTTCCTTTCTCGATAACGAAATCTGTTTCAGGTACTTTGTAGTCTTCATTACACGTTCTGTCCAAGAAGGGTAGAACTGGGTATTTACGAAGGGTTTCTGGAATTAATTGTGGAACAAATGAAATTGAAGCATCATAACGAAAAATAAAATAATGAAAAAAACTTCAACGAATCCGTTGAGAATATTACATTAGATGTTTCTTACTGTCTTTTTGGGTATATAACGTCCCACAATCTGAAAAATAAAGCTTGATCAATAGAGAATCTGATGATGTGTAATATAGAGCAAACTGAAAACCCTGAAAAGTTACCGCGTAACCACCAGATTCTTTGTTATTCGGTCAATTTAGATATTCGAGGGTACAAAAATTCGTACCCAGCTCAAAGTTGGTAGGATTGTTCAAATAATTATCTGATCTACAATTCTGTCTGGACCAATTTTACGATAAAACTGACCGTTTTGCTGAAAATCACGAAAAACTTGTGACTTCTAACCTCGAATTAATTTTTTTCTAGGTATCGGATCTTATTAATTTTGATCTGGGTACGAATTGTTGTACCTTCACTCCAATTTTTTGGCTAATTTGACAGGATAACTATTGATTTAGATTTGGTAATCCATCAGCATGTACATGTACAAGACAGTGAGAAATATTGATAACTTTACAAAAAAATGTATTTTCAGGAATATGTTAGATGTTTTTGGAGAACAAAGAGTGATTGTTTTCTGGAGGCACAAAGAATTTAGACTCCACAAAAAAAAGGATTTCGAAGAATATACTGAGGATTCCTACTCAGTGTGATTTTAAAAATTGAAAGAGTATCATTCAGATACAAGATTTCTAAGGTTTTTTTTTACAACAATGAAGCTTACTGTCCACGCACTGTATTGTCAACTTCATAAAAAGCACTTGAATATGCAGAGAAAAGCGTCACTCAAAATTCTTGGTAATTACCGACTCACTGAGTACACTGGAGGCAATTTATAAAGTTGAACCCAAAACACCCCATCATACTTCACATCAAACATAAGCTCCACTCAATCATTGAGAAACGTAAACATATCCACTTTATGTGGGTTCCATCAAATGTTGGTATAGCAGGCAACGAAACGGCCGATCAGCTGGCAAAGGATGTTATTAATAACCCACTCACAGATATTGGAAAAAAAATAGCTGTTGCCTTACTAACGTATGGCAACAGCAATAGAATGGCTTCAACTCTAAGTTATCGGCAATCAAACCGTTGGTCTTACCCTGGAAATCACTTCCAAAAACGAGAAAATTGCAAGTTATCCTATCACGTCTTCGACTAGGACATACTCGCCTCACTCATGAATACATCCTCAACGGTAATAACCTTCCAACATGTGAAGTTTGTGACTGTGCTACAAGTGTCAAACATATTTCATCTGAATGCGCATCCTACTACAACGATAGAGTCGAGTACAACATCCCCCCTTCAATTGAAGCAGCGTTAGGACAAAATTGTAACTATGAAAAACTAATTGCCTTTCTAAGACGTATAAAGCTGCTTCGTATATGAAAATTTATTGTAAGAAATCAATATTTCTATGAAATTTGAATTATCGATAATAACCCTCGATGTTGATGCGACATTAAATAAATTTAATAAAAAAAAACTTCATAAAACTTTAAGTTTTCCATAAGTTCACAAGTTGGGGGAAAATATAAAACATCGTATGGAATTGCCTTTTTCTGAAGTAATACTGCATTGTGAGATGACAAGTTCACAAAACAGTGACACGTGTTTCACTTTAGATCGGGGGTAGGCAACATAAGACACGCGTGCCAGACTTGGCACGCCTGGTAGTTTAAAATGGCACGCATAACTTTGTGACGAAGCAATAAAATAAATATTCAATTTGAAGGAAATTTGGGAATTTTAACACCCACTTATTAAGGATCTATTCAATAGTTGGTAATCGTGAAAGAGAAGACCTTTCACTGATTTTTGGGAATTTTAACACCCAGTTATTAGGGATCTATTCAATAGTTGGTAATCGTGAAAGGGAAGACCTTTCACTGATGGGAAATTTATGAAGCAAATGTTTCTGACAAGTGCGGATGTCTTAAGTTTAGACGATAAAATATTATTTGAAAAACGTTGTAATGATTTTTCATTAAGTATCGGCCGTTTTCATCTCATATTGAACAATATGTTGAACAATGTAACAAGTCAAAGTTGAAGCAATCATCTTTGAAAATTCTGATTTGAGTTTATGAAAAATAGTGAGTTCTGAATGAAATGAAACTGAAAATATATAACATGGAAGACAATAGAATATAAATGCAAGTAGGTCATTATTACTCACCATTGATACACATGCTCAGATATTTCATATCTTGAATTCCTTCATATGTTATACCTTTGTTCTCCTTGATATTAGTCCTTACTTCATTTCTTAATTTATTCTGAATACTGGGATTTAGACACAACTCGTGCAAAGTAAAGGCTATGGTGGAACTGGTAGTTTCGAATCCAGCTGCGTAGAATTGCAAAGCCTGCCCAATAATTTTTTCACTTGCTGAAACGAAGTGATGAAAATAATTTTTGTAGGTCCCGTTTTCAGTAGGAATTTTTTATTCAGGCCCCTTACAGCACTACTCATTTTGAATGACTGACTATTCATCTATCAATGATTATAAGTTCAAATTTGGTAAATTCACAGTTTCAGCTCTTTAGGACGTTGAGTTTATTGATGAGAGGCATGAAAGTCAAAGGTGTTTTGCGTGTTCGACGGATTTTCTGCTATCGCGTAGAAGTCGAACTTCAATTTTGGAACGGGCACACTTGCAGACCAGTTTCGGGCTCATTAGCCACATGTCAGTGCAAGATAGTGGCCATCATCGACCTAAAGACAATGATATTTCATAATTGAAAATCGGAATTCTCTCAGAGTATTTCATTCCTCTTCCTAAGTTGGAAATTTTTTCACTTGCTGAAACGAAGTGATGAAAATAATTTTTGTAGGTCCCGTTTTCAGTAGGAATTTTTTATTCAGGCTCCTTACAGCACTACTCATTTTGAATGACTGACTATTCATCTATCAATGATTATAAGTTCAAATATGGTAAATTCACAGTTTCAGCTCTTTAGGACGTTGAGTTTATTGATGAGAGGCATAAAAGTTAAAGGTGTTTTGCGTGTTCGACGGATTTTCTGCTATCGTGTAGAAGTCGAACTTTAATTTTGGAACGGGCACACTTGCAGACCGGTTTCGGGCTCATTAGCCACATGTCAGTGCAAGATAGTGGCCATCATCGACCTAAAGACAATGATATTTCATAATTGAAAATCGGAATTCTCTCATAGTATTTCATTCCTCTTCCTAAGTTGGATCGAACTACCAAATATCACTTCAACTAGTGCACGAGGTATTAACCAACTGCATATGTTGTTGCACAACATACACGCGGCTTCTTTGAATTTTATCCTAAACCAGTGTTCCTTCTTGTGGATGATTTCAGCTTGAGCACACTTGATGTTATGTTGATGAGTTCAAACATGCTCTGCTATTTCGGATTTGCCGGTTTCTCCTCGCTGGGTGTGTTTCTTGTGCTCAGCAATGCGAACTTTCAATGGCCTCTTAGTTTCACCGATGTATAATTCTCCGCATTCGCAGGGTATCCGGTAAATACAATTCTTGGAATCGCAGTCCGCGTTTGGTGGCCTGGTTTTCGTTAGGCTGCTACGGATAGTGCAGGTTCTGATGTTATACTTGGACCCAATCCTTCTTATCTTTCCCGATAATCCTCTGATGTATGGAAGTACAAGTACTGGTTGTGGCGGCTTCTCTTCCTTGTGGAGCTCTTGCTGTCTTCTAGCTAAAGCCTGTTCTAGCATCACTCTGGAGTATCCATTCCGTTGAAGGTCATTTTTGATGATACATAGTTCCTTTTCGAAACCTTCCTTTGTATTACATAGCCCGAAAGCACGGTCTAGTAGAGTCTTGATGATTCCTCTCTTAGTTGATTGATGGTGGTTGGATTCCCAGTTCAGATACTATCCTGTGTGAGTGGGTTTTCGATATACAGATGTTTCCCATTTAGTGTCGGTCCTCTTCACCAATACGTCTACGAAAGGCAATTGGTTGTGGACTTCCTTCTCCATTGTGAAAGTGATGAAAGGACTCACGTTGTTGATGTGCTTCAGAAAAGTGTCTAGTTCTGCATTCCCATGGTTCCTTATTATGAAGGTGTCGTCTACGTATCTCAACCAGACTCGGGGCTTCTTCAATGGCCAGTTTGAAACCACTCCATATATATATTGGCTGTTACCGGTAAAAGTGGCGATCCTATTGGCAGTCCCTCATCTTGCGTGAAGAATTCGTCCTTCAGTTGGTAGTAGCAGTTTCGTACACAGCATCCTAGTAGTTCCATGATTACTTGTATCGGTAAATTTGTTCTATCTTTCAGGTCCCCGTCTTTGGATAGCTACCTCTGTATGATTTGAAGTGTTTCTTTGACATGGACGTTGGTGTAAAGGATTTTCACGATGAAACTGAGCAGTTGATCCTGCTCTTTGGCTTCGATTTTCCCTAGTAGTTCAACAAAATGCCTTGAATTTTTCACCAGAAATGATGTTTTACCTTGCAGTGGTTTAATTATTGGTAGTAAAAATCTGGACAAGTTCTGAGTGGCTGAATCTCTGGAGCTAATGATCGGTCTGAGCGGAACATCTTTTTGTGGATTTTGGGTAGTCCATACAAGTGAGGGGGCTCACTTAATTCTCAGCTTGTATTAATATTTCAATTTTTTTGTTTTTTGTTTGTTGCTTGTATGTTATTTCTTTGTAGTTTCAGTTTCTTTGTTTAATAAAATTGTTATTTTTTTGGTTATTCTTTTTAATTTTTTTTACAGATTATTTCAGGGATTTCAAATCAATTTATATTATATTAGACAATGGAAGTCCGAATTGATGAAATTGGTAGTACTTATTTGAATAATTGCAAAAAGTTTTTCCGAAACGAATTCAATGGAAATTTATATTGATGAAGTGTGACTCGAAGATCTCGGAATTGTTATCAAATAAAAATCTTACCTGAATCTGTACTACAAACGTGCCCATCCGATTCTTCCAAGTCCTTTAGAATATCGACAAAATCATTTTTCCTTATTTTGCTTTTTTCTCTTTCCTTTATGGTGTTTTTGACCGCTTCAGAAAAGTATTCGCGAGTGGTAGTTGGGATAAAATCTAAATGAAAAAGATCCACCCATCGCGGCCTGAAAAAATACGCCATTTGCACGAAGGCGTTTCTCAAATTGAAATGAAAAATGCTGAAACCTATTTTCCGGAACGTAGCGTCGTCGTTATCAAAGCAATGCGAGTTTATTCCAAAGAAGCACTTGGCACTGACATCAGTGGAGTATTTAGAACAAACTTCTTTTGCGTTCAGTACTTCTTTGTGCTTACTCAAATACCGTACCAAGTCTTCTCCTATACTGTTGACGATAGGAAACATACCCTTGAGCTTTCCAGATGTGAAAACTGGGGTGAGTTTCACCCTATCGCTTCTCCACACCGGCGTCTTTTGAAAAAAAAGCATATTCGACTGTATGTTATCATGCATTGGGCAGGCCACTGTTCTGTCTACGAAATAAGCGAAATCCCTTATTGCGATATTTTTTATTAGCTCCGGAGACTTCATTATCAGAATGGGTTCGTCAAAAATGAACAAACCAAAGTATGGAGCATTGACGGTATCATATATTCTTTTTAACCATTCGCCTATCGTGTATCGGAAGAAACAGGCAGAAATGAAGTTGCCGAAAATTGGAATTGGTGTAGGACAATAAACTCCACGTTTCGCCCAGTAATCAAATTTTCTTGTGCTGTATTTGTAGAGGATAAATAAGGATGTTCCAAAAGAGAGGAATAACGGAAGGATCCACGAGGATGTGAAAATCATCTGAAAAAATAAGTACGTTGAGGTAAACTAAGTCTAGAATGAAAGTTAGGTATCGTTATTTATTATCAACCCACGCGTTTACATACATTGGTGAAAACTGTGAAGAAACGAGTTTGTTTCGATAAAGCTTTTACTAGTGTATGAGGGACACCAGAACAAATAATTACGACTGGTTGAAACCAGACCCCAAAAAAACTTCAGTTGATTCTATACATGGCTATAGCTTTTACTTGATCACGACGAAATGACGGCAAACTGAGATATATTGCAGTTTCAAAGTGATTCAATCAAGAACAAGGAAGTAAAAGAAAAGAAGAATTGAAAGAAAAAATAATCACCACGAGTTCAAACTAGAGCTCAAAAAAACTTTTGTCGATTCTATGGATGACTAGAGCCTTCACTTAATCACGAATTGTTAATGACAAAAAAGTGAAAGAAAAAAAGAAATAAAAGAACAAATAATCACGACGAGTTGAAACCAGAGCCCAAAAATACTTTCATAGAAGGCCATAGCCTTCACTGAATTACGAAGAAATAACGACAAAGAGAGAGTTATTCAGCCAAGACCAAGAATCTAAAAGAGAAGAAGAATTGAAAGAAAAACTGATTACCAATCATCACGAGTTGAAACTAGAGCTCAAAAAGGGTTCTGACGATTCTATAGATGACTAGAGTCTTCACTTAATAACGAATAAATAACGGCAAACAGAGATATAACGCAGTTTGGACGTGATTCAGTCGACAACAAGAAAGTGAAAGAAAAGAAGAAATGAAAGAATAAATAATCACGATGAGTTAAAACCAGACTCCAAAAAGACTTCTATAGATGGCCAAAGCTTTTACTAAATAACGACGAAATAACGACAAACAGAGATGATTTTCAGTTTTGAAGTTATTCAGTCAAGAACAGAAAAGTAAAAATGAAACAGCAAATAATCACGACGAGTTGAAACCAGAGCCCAAAAAGACCTCTGTAGATTCTATAGATGGCGTAGCCTTTTCTTAATTACAAAAAAAATACGACTAACAGAGATATAATGCAGTTTTGAAGTCATTCAGTCAAATTCAGTCTAGAAAAAGTAAGTAAAAAAAAACAACAAATCATCACAAGTTGAAACCAGAGCCTAAAAAGGCCTCTGTCGATTCTATAGATGGCTATAGCCTTTACTCAATTACGAAAAAATTACGACTAACAGAGATATAATGCAGTTTTGAAGTCATTTAGTCAAATTCAGTTAGGAAAAAGAAAGTAAAAAAAATGAAACAACAATTTATTACGAATAGTTAGAACCAGAGCCCAAAAAGACTTCTGTGTCGATTCTATAGATGAATATAGCCTTCACTTAATTACGACAAATTAACGGCAAGAACGAGAAAATGAAAGGAAATGAGAAATAGAAGAATTTTCCAGAAAAAGAATCACTTGAGTTGTATTGTTGAAAGCAACCCTAGTCTTGAGATATCCATTGAAGGGAACCACCCATCAAAGAAATAGGAGCAGAATGTTCCTAGATCATTACGAAGTAAAAGAAACAACAACTAAATAAGTTAAGGCTATAGCTTAACTTATTTAGACGAATTAACGGCAAACAGAGATATAATGCCGTTTTGAAGTGATTTAGTCGAGAAAGTAAAAGGAAATAGGAAATAGAAACAAATATAATCACGATGAGTTGAAAGCAGAGCCCAAAAAGACTTTTGTCAATCCTATAGATGGCTATATCTTTTACTTAATCATGACGAACTGACGGAAAACAGATATAGATTTGAATTTTAGAGTTATTCGGTCAAGAATAAGAAATTAAAAAAAAAGAAATAAAAGGATAGTGAAGAAAAAAGACTAACGAAAAGCGGAGAAGAAAGAGGAAGAGAGAAGTAAAGAAGAAGCTGGGATCAAGAATTGTTGCAAAAACAATCGCAGTAAAAAAAACCAAAAAGTAAAGAACCAAAACCCAATAGGAAAATATAATAATGATGAGATTATACAAGGCATCATATACTTATATACACGCGTATAAAACTTATCAGAATAGTAAAAAAAAGGTAAACTACAAATGAATTGTTAAGATAGTGTATAGTCGCAAAACAAACTAAAAAAATTATTCATAGAATAGTAGGTTTCACAAAAGTAAGCTATTAAGAAATACAAAATTCTTCAACATTATAAAATAGTTTTTCAAGAAGGAAATTCCTCAATTTATTTTTGAATAGAGTATCATTCAGATTCACATCTATTATATCTCTCATTTTATCGAAACATTTGGAATCAACACGCTTTGGCGAATTTCCACAGACTGATAGCCTTCCATAGGTTGTCGAAGACTTCCTTCATTCCTAGTATTGAACATATGAGTGTCCTCATTCTTCATTGGTTCATTCTGTTTTTTTAATGCACATAATCAGCCCAAGAATATACACACATGGAAGGGCTAGTATTTGGAGATTCTTGAGTAAAAATTCACATGTTGTAGTTGGATGACCATGACATTCTTCTCATTATCTTTTTTTGAGATACAAATGCCCTTTCAAAGTAAAGAGATCACCCCCAAAAGATCACACCATATTGCAGAGTGGACTGAACCATCCCAAAATATAATCATTTCAGGATATCTGCTGCTACAGTACCCCAAAGGTTTCTTATTATTATTATATACATAAATACATACGGTATTTATGTGTGCTTCCCGTCTTAGCTTTCTATTCAAATCCATAGATTGTATAGATTTTCCAGATACGGTTTAGTATAGGTTGTTTTTTTCTGTTCAAAATTAAGCTATTTTCAAGGCTATTTCATTAGATGCCTTATTATTTGATTCTGTTAATTGGTTGACTTTATTGTGTGACATCAGTATATTAGTGTTATCAGCATAATTGTTTGCGAAGGTACAGGTGTCATCAATGTCACACAGAAAGGCTGTCAACAATAGGGGTTCCTGTATTTATTATCCTTGAATTTGATTTCAGATTATTCACTGCTGTCGTCTGTGTTCTGTTTGTTAAGTATGATGGTACTCATTAGAGCAGAACCCCCTAACTCCTTACTCTCTCAATTTCATGATTAACAAGAGATATAGCTGAAATAATTTGAAAAGAAAGAATGAGAGGAAGAGACTAGAAAGAAACCTAACAGTTGTTTTTAAAATTACAAAGTTAAAAAATGAATTTCATAGAAAAAAATAACTGGAAAAGTCGTACAAATGAAAAGCGATAACAAAGGAGTTCAAGGAGGAATGCAAACAGTCACTGACAAAGTCGTAAGGAAAATGAGTTTGGAAGAATTGACGAATGAATTGTGGAGGGCGCGGAACTGAAAGATCAAGAGTATATAGTCTATACAAAGATAAATAAAAGTATAATGTACCGGGCCCGATAAATTTATAAGGTAATACCATATAGAACCTCCCACATGAAAATATTGATTAGACCTCGTATATATACCACGCCGCCCATGCCATACAAAGAAACTGCCAACGTCTGGTAACTGTTTAGTTTTAATGCTATTCGAATTGGCTTCATATATACTATATGAACGTGGCCTGTCAGACGTTATACCTACCAACAACAACAAGAGTATCACTGGGTGAAACAAAGAAATATCCAACCTTCGATGGAAAATCATCTTGATGTACCATTGACAGTCTGAAGCAATAGCCAACGCCAACAGCTGAATGGAAGAAAAAAAACCTACTGCCCTCGTATAGTCACTACGATATAAGACATTGGAATACTCCATAAATGTTCAAAAAGCAGTCAAAACGATTATAGAAGGATTTTGCAAGCTCTAGAAATGTGATATGAACAACAATACTTGAAGCAAGTCTGCCAGCGCTGATTTGGGAACAGACATAATTAATCGCAGAAGAGGACTTCACAGGAGTATGGGGCAGATATCGACAGACATCGATCTATGTTATTCCCAAGTTCCAAAGAAGTTTCTAAAGTAGATTGCATTACTATCGGAAGGATGAGAATGCAGTTGAAGAGTGTTATCTCGTACGAAGAATTTTCCAGAAAAAGAATCACCTAAGTTGTATTGTTGAAAACAACCCTAGTCTTGAGATATGCATTGAAGATTCAGATTCAGATTCTTTATCAACCATTTGTAGCCAAGCTGTGCTTGGATATGGCAAGTCATATTACACTTAGTAGCACATTGTTAATGTTATGCAAATCATTTTTTTTAATGAGAAATTCAATAAATTATTTTGAAAGTACAATATTCATACAGGGGCATACTTACATACAAGTATCAACATAAATTAAGTACTTTTGCAATAGTTCACAAATTCTTCAAGGTTGTAGAAAGCATTCATTGTCAGCATTTTTTAAATTTTTTTCTTGAAGAGAGGCTGCGATAATTCTTTTACATTATTTGATATATAATTATATAGTGTAAGTCCATTATATTGTGGTGATTTTGTATAATATGTGTGGTTGAATTTTTCGATGCGAAGGTTATCTTTGTTTCTTGTTTCATACCTGTGTCTGTCACCATTTCTAGCATAGCAATTTTTATTAGTATGTATATACAGTAATATATTTAAAATGTATATGCAGGGAAATGTCAATATACCCTTTTGTTTAAATACTTCTCGGCATGAGTCAAAANTAATTGAGCATATTAGCAACTGCAATATCAGCCTGGTCAGATAACCCTTCACAAGAAAAAGAACTCAATAAGAAGGAAGTATCATCGGCAAACTGTCGTTGACGAATAAGAGAAAGAAAGTAGGGTTCATGACACTACCTTGCGGAACACCCGTATTGGAACATATTTACAAAGGAAAAAAAAAAGAATGAGGAATACAATGCTAATTCACCATGAAATGGTTCATACAAATTAAAGAATTTGATAACTTTGTCGGACCTTTAGCGAATTCAAAAGGGACTACACCTGCAGTATCAAAATTGATCCATGTTGTGACAAATTATCGAAGAACATTATATCAAAATAGATTCTGGCGAATAAGAACCTTCTGCTTTCTTTGAAATCGGTTGACAACAATCATCACATGCAATGAGACATTTCAAGGGAGGTTCTGAAATTATTGATCGAAAACAAAAAGTATTGTTTTCCACCAAAATTGTACGTAGATTGTACTTACATATTAGAATATACAAAAGTAACGACTGATAATGTTTAACTTACCTTCTGATAACTTTTCTTGACGTTTCACATTCAGGTAATGGATCTTTCAAAGACGTTGCCCAAATATTTAATAACCTAGCTGTAGAATGTTCTAAACAGGATCGGACTGCAAACATTAGGACTGATGATTTTGGAAAAATGGGTTTTGCTATAAATAAAAATACTAAATTTCCTAAGAAGGAATGTACACGTAGATTAGTTTTTTGAAATTTCCCGATGAAAGTGTGAAAAATTCCATCCTGCTATTTTGTCTTCCAGGTCAAACTACTCAATAGATTTATAAAGGACGGTTCTGTATTTCGAGAAAGAGGACAAAATATTGCGTGCGTTTAATTTTTTTCAGTTGAAGCAAAATAAAATAAGTATCGTGACTTTAATTAGATCTAATACAGTATCATCCGTGGGTCTATAATTTTGTCATAAAGTGATTTTGAAATCGTGTGTCTTTTGATAGCTAGTAATTTGAATTTCCAGATTGTTTTTACAGTTAGTATCATTTATTGTTGAAGGAAAACAACATCTGATTTCGATAACAGGAACTGGATGTATTAAATTTTAGTATATGAAAGTTTGTTTTCTTTTAGCAAACTTTTTGATAGGGCTATCAGTTTGATAAAAGAATGAAATGCTAACACTAAACTCATAATCAACTAATTTTTTCTACGGATGCTATACAATATGCCACTTCTTTCATCGCTTTCATACGTTCAAAACGAATGGTGGAAATTTCTCACGCAGTGAGAAATATCCACCATTCTGGAAATTTCTCACGCAGTGAGAAATATCCACCATTACAGTGAAAACTAATTTCTCACTGTTATCACGATAACCCAAGTCTGTCATGAATTGTCAGATTGATATGACACGTTCTCCATGTTGACAACGATACGCCGACGATTAAGGACCCTGTATATCAAAATACGTAAAACTATGTGCATTTTTAAAACGCAAATCTGAAAAATATGCTCCAAAACTGTCAAAAAACTTTAACTTCTGAGGAAATTCAACAATTTTTAAAAGATGCACCTGATGAAAAGTATTTGCTGATAAAGGTATGAATTGAACATTTTTTGGGAAAGAAAGTTTTTGGCTCTCTACTACTCCATGTTGATACAAAAAAATGTGGAAATCTCACAAAAAAAGGAAGGAAGTAATCAATTTTAAAATGAGTAACTCTATACATGGATGTGTAGATCATGCAAAGTAGCAACTTTCAGACACAAACTGGAAGAAAGTCCTCCTGAAACAGCTACTTTCAAATAATCATTGAATTACACGAAAGAAAAAAATCTTTCGAAACAAATACTTTCCTTCGAACACTGAATTATACAGAAGATACTTTGCTCTACTCAGTTTGTATTTCAAACATTCGTTGTGGAATAAAAATCAGATATCATTCACATAAGTTCTACTTTAAATGAATGGTAACAAATTGCTCTTACATGGAACACTGTCATCCTCACTGGTAGACACCGATGTTATCGAAAAATGAATGTTTGGTTTTGATTTCACGCTGCTTTAGCTATTGGCATTACAGGGGCATGCCGTGCATGAGATGGAAAATCCTACTTCGGCCCTTTTAATAAAATTACTAAATAAAATGCTAAAACCAAGGTTCCTAGAAATTTCACAGTCACAGGAGAATTCTACCAAATTTACAAAAAATATGTGAAGCTTCGATCATGTACAAATGAAACACGTTTTTTTAATTTACAAAAATAGCAAATGTACGAAACAGCCTGTTGGGATAAATAAATTTGTCACCATGGCGAAAGAAATAGCAAAATTTTTACAATTACCGAACCCTGAATTATATATTGGCCACTGTTTCCGAAGGTATCTAGTATGCGACTATTTTAGTTAATGCAGGGGCAGATCTTCTGACTTTAAAACGCCATGGGGGTTGGAAATTCAGCAATGTTGCTGAATCTTATATCGACAACTCCATAGCTAACAAAATGAAAATTTCCAAAAGTATAGTACAATTCATTCTGCCTCCAGCGCCATTAGAACCTGAACACAACAATGCTGTGGAAGCTCAGTACGTTTCTCCATCAATTTCAACTTCGACCGCAGCTAATATTTCAATTACCGAAAACATGCTGAAACAAAACGACCTACCAGGAATTACTTTACAAAATTGTTCAAATATAACTGTTAATTACTATTTTAAATAAAATATGAAAATGAGTTAATGACATACAAGTATTATTGTTTATATGTATGTTATGTGGTTCATTTTCTAATATAACATGTATTTTAATTTTCAATACTTGAAAACAACGCAACCGTAGATAAAGTACAGTGTACAATGCGTGAGAAAATGACATATGTCGTTTTTCTCACTTGTACAATATACTATTATTCAGGAACACAATGAATACCACAGAAGATTGTTTTAGTGTTTATATGTATTTTAATTTTCAATACTTGAAAACAACGCAACCGTAGAAAAAGTACAGTGTACAATGCGTGAGAAAATGACATATGTCGTTTTTCTCACTTGTACAATATACTAATATTCAGGAACACAATGAATACCACAGAAGATTGTTTTCGATGAAAATGAATTAATATATTGTTCTCATATATGGAGCTCTGCCCTTAAACATACCCTGAAAAATTTGACAGAATCACAACAGACATGTGGAATAGGCCTACTGGGGAAACCACGTTAAAAAAACGCGCTAAGTTAACTACCTCATAGATGGCGTGGAAACGTGTGCATATAATGACGATTACAACTTTTACAACTTTTTGACTCGTCGTATCTCAAAAACAATGTATCGATACATTTTTTGTAGAGAATTTTATAGTCTACAATTTTTATTTGAGGTTATTTCATGAAGAAACTCACCGTTTTCCTGGAAATCGCGAAAAACCAATTTTTTTCGAGATTTTTGACCTTTGATCTCGAATAAATTTTTTTCCAGGCATCGCAATCATTCAGAATTTCAAAATCTTATTTTTAATTATGTTTTGAACAATTACACGCATTTGCAGCTTGTTATAAATTTACCTTCCAATGTCTAGATTGACCGGATTAAGATACTTCCACGGGAAGTGTTCAAGTGACTTGACACATTTGATTCCACTACCTCAAACTTCACTGTTTAAGAACTCTTCCATCTGGAGAACTGCGTTCATGTGGAATAATTTTCCTGAGAAGTTTTTGAAATGGATTTAATCTCCAGCGGTTCAAGTCCAATATGAATCGCTATTTTCGCACAGGCACCGCTCTGGGAGTACCTTAAAGATTTTCCTGCAGTGTTTTGTCCTCGAAAAAATTTATGAATGAAATACGTTTTTCTCATTTGTTTATAGACATTTATTCATAATTTTATTCATTATTCCACATTGTCGTATGTATTCCATACTACTTGTAAATTAATTTATCTAGTTCTCGCTTACATACCTAGCAGATAGGAAGAATATAGACTTTTTGCAGAAGATAAGGAATTACAAGTTCAAATGGTCCGCAATTTATAACACAACCCAATTCAACGTGTACGAGATTTCCATACTACAATATTGAAAGGAGAACAATTTCGTCTTCCCTCAAATAAACAATATGAACGCCAGCATTCATAGCCAATGGTCCACATATCCTACGAATAATTAGGTAATTTTTCCGATAATCTCATCCAAATTGATTTAAAAAACCTCTATTCAATGTTATTAGCACCATAGGGCATTATACATCTTGAAAATGACATTATTGACACAAAGACCATGTTGAAATTTCAGGGGTTCATTTTATACGTCATGAAAATGTATGATTTTCATAGTCTTGAAGTCACTTCACCGAGCTGCAGGCCCTGAGACTGGTCAAAAGTTCCATCTCAGAGCTGAACAACAGGAAGACAGTCCATCTCGTCCTCCTGGATATTTCGAAAGCCTTCGACCGAGTTTGGCACGAAGGCCTGCTACACAAAATGCTCGATTTCGATCAGCCTGGTCCTTTCTGAAAGGCAGAATATTTCAGGTCCGAGCTGGGAAATCCAAGTTGGAGTGCCTCAGAGAGCTGTACTGCCTCCACTACCGACCTTCCGAGGTTCGATCACGTGAAGGTTTCCCTTCACGCCGATAACACGGCTCTCCTCGCCTCTTTGATGGGTTTACATGCAACGCGGATTGGACGACCTTGAACGCTGGTACCTTGACTGGAAGATCCGGGTGAACCCAGAAAAAACTCAGGCGATAGATTTGGGGAGACGTAACGTTTCTCCAGACACAAGGGTCACGGCCTCAGGCAGGGAGATCGAATGGCAAACGCAAGTCAAATACCTAGGTCTTTGGGTAGATCGCCAACTCACCTGGGCAAATACATTGACTACACCAAGAGCAAATTTCAGATGGGGATAGCCAAACTCTCTCCTCTGGTTAACAAAAACTCAAAGCTCAACCTTGAAAATAAGGTTTTACTATACAACACGATGTTCAAGCCTGTCATCATGTATGCTTCAGGCACCTGGGGACAAACCGCTCCGTCAAATCTCTCCATTCTGGAGAGGTTGCAAAACAAACTTCTCAGGATGCTGGTGAATGCTCCATGGTTCGTGCGGAATGAAGCCATACGCAGAGATTTGAACCTGTTAACTATATGGCAGTTCATTCAGTCGAGGAATCAGAGAGTTTTCGAATCAGCGGAAACTCATGATAACCCATTAGTCAGGGAAGCTGTAGATTATGCTATAGACGACTCCACTCGATTCAGAAGACCTCGTCGCTCGGTTGAGTGAAAGCCTCACGACGTCTGTTGAAATGAACAGTTTGTTCATCAAAACCCCAGTCAGGGGGCGGCGACATAAAGGTCATTGACCTTTATGTCGCCACCAAAAACACCCTCAGTTATAAATCATTCGTCCACCTGACGAACCTCAGTTGAAAGGGTGAGGGAAAAGTTTCCAACCTGATGTAAAGGAAGATGGCACGAACAATAGACTTGAAGTGGAAAGAGATTTTCAGTCTCATGACACCTTAGAAAAGTTACGTATATGTGCAAAGGTGGTTAATTCCTGTGCGGTGTTCGTGAAATTAGTTTCGTACAGAGTGGTATCAATGAAAAATCGTTTCACTGATATACTAGGTGT